TTCATCATGGATCCCCCTGGGAAAAAATATATGGGAAGCGGGAGGGAAGACAGAAGCCTATGGAAGATACGAGAAAATCCGGGGCATCCTGGGATCTCTGTGTGTGTGCTTCTCTTCGTGTGCCCCCGGGGCCCCTTCCCTTGGCATCGCTCGGACGTGTGCATTTTTCAGTCGGCGAGGACCATCGAGGAGCATCCTTGATCATTTGGCGAAAAAACCACGCACGAAACCGAAAAGAACGCAGGGAATGGACGTCCGAGCGATGGCCAGTTCCAGCTCCGCGCAGATCGCCGCCCCCGGCGCATGCGCGACCCTGACCTTCCAGAGAGCTATTTTTTAGTACTGGAGGCCTAAAACCCCCCCCCAAAAAAACTGAGCGAAACAGCCTGAAACCAAGACGTAGAGTAGCTTTGGGATAGGTTTTTAAGCCGCGTGCTATTTTTTAACCCTCTTGGAAGGTCAGGGGAACCCCCGGCAGGTGCCGGAGCTCGGGAGTTTGGGATCTCTGTGTGTGTGCTTCTCTTCGTGTGTCCCTATAGGGCCCCTTCCGGCTCCGCGCGCATATATCACCGCCCCCGGCGCACGGCGCGAACTACCCTCGGCAGGTGCCGGAGCCCGGGAGCCGGCACGCGGGGCCCCACGTGGTGGCGCCCACGAAGGGCAAGGGCTACTACTCGCCGTACTGAGGGGGGGGGGGGGCGGGCGCGCCCCGCGGGCGGCCCCGGGCCGGGGCCCCCTTTGTTACCAGCCTCGAACGTATCCCTATACACGCCAAAAGGCGATGACAATCTCAGGGATTCGCCCTCAAAAAAAAAGGGAACCCCTAGGATTGGCATCGTGGTGGGGAGGTGCCCAGCGTAGGGATAGGGACATTTTCCAGGCTGGTGCATTTGGGAAATGTTTATGTCCGGCCGGCAGGGGCCAGCCATGGAGCTCTCACGCGCTGCCCCCTTCGGGGGTTGGACGGGCCTCCTATGCCCCGACGCGTCGATGAGAGCGGATGGGCCGTGTTCGCTTCGCGAGAGGGCGTCGTGGCCGTCATGTTTGCTGCGGGTCCAGGCCCGTCGGTTTCGTCTTATTTTATATCATCGGGTTTATGTCCTGGGAACATGGTTTTTTGTGCTTAGAACATGTGTGGGGTTCTAAGAACATTTCGCGGCAGGACGGACTATAGGAATGCCGGGACGGTCGGTCCCTGCTCAAAGCCTGGAGTTCATGCTTGCCCCTACCCGGTAAGGGGGGAGGGGGGAAGGCCTCTTGGAACCCTGCTTCTCAGGAGGCGCGGGCCTCGAGCTCATGCCTGCCCCCTGCCCTTTATCCGAGGTTGATAGACTTCCTACCCCGACGCGTCGACGAGCGAATGGGCCGTGTTCGGTTCGCGAGAGGGGCGTCGCGGCCGTCATTCTTGCGGGTCCAGGTCCGTCGGTTTCGGTCCTAAGCCGTTTTCCTTAGAGGGTGGTTTGCGAAAGGGGGGTTCGTCTAGCGCCGATGTAACCAGCCACGCGCAGTGGGGGGTAACCTCAGGAAGGCATTAAGAACCCCCCTCCCCCCTTTTCCGGTGGATTATAACGCCCCCGCACCCTGGAGCGTTATGGCCGCACCGGAAGACCTGGCTGAGGGGACTCGGGGCCTAGCTAAGGCCTGCCAAGCGCAGATTTGCTCCTGCCAAGCAGTTTAGCAGGGCCAAGCAGGGCTTAGCAAGGCTTAGCAGGGCTTAGCAGGGCTTAGCAGGGTTTAGCAGGGCTTTGCAGGGCTTTGCAGGGCTTTGCAGGGCCAAGCATAGCTTTGCTGGGCTAGATCCTTGACATTCGTCACGACACCCTCTCTTGGCGTTAGTGGGCGGCCGCCGATGGTGGATTTTGTTTTCTGTGTGCGGCGGGTGCTAAGTGTATCGTTCGGCTAAAACTGCCCGCCTGGAATATTGAGAAAACCGGGTGCTAAGAATAACCCAGGGGGGTTTCTTAATGCCTTCCTGAGGTTAGAGGGGGGAGGGGGGGAGGCTTCTTGGAAGCACCCCTGCTTCTCAGGAGGCGCGGGCCTTGTCTGTAGATGTAAGGCCAGCGCCTTCTAAGAAGCAGCCTCCTTCTGAGAAGCCTTCCCCCCTCCCCCTTACCCCCCCCCCCTGTGCGTGGCGCCAACTTGAGTCGAGCACGTTTCTCTACAGGAGGAGTGATAAGAAAAAGTATAACAATAGTCCGGGGACGACTTTCCAACTATTTTGCTTGTTCATGCATTTTTTGATTCTTGCCATCTTTCTTTCGGAATCGCTACCCTTCCCTCGTCTTTCCCTGGTTTTTGTATTCCTTGACTCGGACATGCCTGACCCAACGCTACCCTTCCCTCGTCTTCCCCTTTTTGGGGGCCTCCTGGGGGGCCCTGGTCGCCCTGGCCGGATTCGCCTGAAATTCTGGTCAGAACGCACCCCGGGAGAGGTCCGGGGAGCAGAGGATTTGGCGAGCCCACAGGGCGAGAGCAATCCGTAGAGATGCGTCCTCGGAAAAGGAGGAGGGATCCTTGAGGTCGGCATACCGAGAAAAGAGGTGGTGCCAATCAAGGGGATGGGGAGGAGGAGGCGGAGGAGGAGGAGGAGGAGGAGAAGGAGGAGGAGGAGGAGGAGGAGGAGGTGAGGCTGGTAACAGCTGCACTCTCGCCTGCGGGGCCCAGGGCCCGGGGAGCCGGGCCTCTGCCACCAGGACGGCCACATTCCAGCGTGGAGCCCGCGTGGGTGTGCGAGGTGGCCCAGCAGTGGCTCTGATCTCCGCGCGGAGATGTCGAAGCCGTTCCACGGAGGGAGGGCGGGCCGTTTTCAACCTCGTCTTGGCGCCGCGTACACTCGTTTTGGAAGCAATTCAGAGCTTCACGGATGGTTTAGGGTTTAGGGTTTACACAACGTATTAGTGTTTGGGGGTGTCGCGGCGGCCCCAATTGGTGCCCTCCAGTCGGCTTGGCTACGATTCCTCGTAGAACACGTGGGATTCGCGTCGCGACGGCAAGATTTCGGGCCTGCTGATGCCGCGATCCCTCGTAAAACACGTCGGATTCGCGTCGCGACGGCTTGCGCGGAGCGCTTGTCGGGCCACCCCGAAGGCGCTTCCGCTCGCGCAGGCTCGCACGGAATGCTTGCCAGGCCGCTCCAGAGCCGCGCCCGCTCGCGCAGGCTCACACGGAATGCTTGTCGGGCCGCTCCGGAGCCGCTCCTGCTCGTGCCGGCTCGCACGGGATGCTTGTCGGGCCGCTCCGGAGCTGCTCCCGCTCGTGCCAGCTCGCACGGAATGCTTGTCGTGCCGTTCCGGAGCCGCTTCCGCTCGCGCCGGCTCGCTCGGAGCGTCGGATATGTTTCGGCGCGCCCATCAGGCGCTCGCGCAAGCTTGCGCCGGGCTCGCTTACACCGTTCGGCGTGGTATCGTTGCACTGTCTTTCGCAATGGCACCACTCGAGTTTGTTCGATACGTGGTGTTTTTTCTGCTTGAGGGTTTAGGGTTAAGGGTTTAGGGATTAGGAATTATGGATTAGGCTTTAGGGTTTAGGGTTTAGGGTTTAGGGTCTACTAGGCGTGGCCACGCGTACACCTGGACCGCGAACCCACCTGCGGTGGCCGTCACTCCCACCCGCACGCCACCCCACCATAAAGATCATCTCTCCCCTCGGTATAACCACAGCGAGTGCAACGTCGACGACGACGACGACGACGGCGACGACGGATGTACGATCCAGTTGGCACGCGAGTGCTCTAACGGGCTAAAGATTCTGCACGCATGCGCAGGAAGCGCGAGATTGTCCAGGAGATGGAGCCGGTGTACATAAGGGGGTCGCATTTAGCGCCGCTGGCCCAGCAGTGGCTCTGGCCAGCAGGATGGGGGCCAAGCTCGAGATGCTGGGTTCGACGAGGTTTTCTGCTGCCTCTTTCGCTCTCTGGGGGCCGTTGTTCGGCCGTGGGACCGCCACGAGCGGGTCTGGGGCGACACGTGGAACCAGATAAACTCTGGCAGGGGTCTGGGTGCAGATTTCGAGCGGATGCGCCTGCATTCCACCCTGGCCGATTCTTTGGTGCCCGAACCAGTTCAGAGCCCCCGGCCGCCTCCAGGATCCAGCGAGAGAGAGAGAGAGAGAGAGAGAGATTGGGTAATGGAGAGTGTTTCGGTCTGCGGCCAATTGCGAACCGTACCCCTGCGGATCCGCTTGGCGCTTGGACAATCGGACACCTTCGCCTGGCATCGGACGCCCCTCGAACTCTGAACCCCAGCCAAGGTTCCAGAAACCTGACCTGCACGGGCAGGGTGCACCGGGTCGGGCGACGCGAGGCGATGTGGAGAGGGGGGCTACGCATATTTCAGCGTGCAGCTGCTTTCGGCTCGGATCGCGCCGCAGTGATTGCCGATGCATCGGCGATGCGGCTCGATGCGGACGGAGCCCGATGTTCTCCACGTCGACGACGCCGATGCGTCGCCGACGTCGCCGATGCATCGCCGATGCATCGCCGATGTATCGCCGACGCAGCGCGATCCTCCGACCCCATCTATTCGGACCCCATTTTGAGGCCTGGCGCCGGGAGGCGCGTCCTGTCGCCGGGAGGCGCCCGAAAAACCAGCTGCGGGAGCCGCTTCGCTGAGGCCCCCTCACTGGATTCCCCGTTCGTCCGACCCTGAGCTCGCGTGTGACAGACGGAAGACGACAAAGGGGTCGATTGCGCAGGCATTCGCCGCAGGCCTAGAGGTTGACACCAACACCAATTTCGGTGCTGTGCCTCCACCGACGGTGCAAGATCCCGATTTCGGTGTTGGTGGTAATACTCAGGCTTCCAAGGTGGCCTAAATATTACCACCAACGCCGAAATCTAGGACCATTTTCCTCCTGTGGAGGCAGCCCCTGTGTGTTGGTGTCGGTGCCCAGTTCCAGGCCTCCAAACTCGCGCGTGAACTTCCCGCGCAAGGCGGCGCGGAGGTGCCGCTGCTCCGCGCGCGGCGTGCCGGTCTGGCGGCCCGCGCAGGCCCATGCCAAGAGACACCCCCCTCCCCCTCCCCTTCCCCCTCCCCCTCCCCTCCTCCTCCTCCTCCTCCTCCTCCTCCTCCTCCTCCTCCTCCTCCTCCTCCTCCTCCTCCTCCTCCTCCTCCTCCTCCTCCTCCTCCTCCTCCTCCTCCTCCTCCTCCTCCTCCTCCTCCTCCCGTTTGCCTCTGGGGTGGCCCGGGCTTCTTGGGTTTCCAGGGCTCTGCCGTGGAAGGCGTGGCGCCCCCACAGCAGAGATCAAGGAACGTCCTGGGGTCTCATTGTGTGGGAGGCCCCCCCCCGGGTTGCCGCAGAGCGTGCTGCTGCCTTCCTGGCCCGCGGCTGCAGGCCTCTTGGGGCGTGCCGCTGCCCCGGCTCGGTCCGAGCGCCCGCCCGCGGGGCCCCGTCATGGGCGGGCCCTGGGCGGTTTCGAGTCGGGCACGTCCCTCCACGGGGGGGAAGGTTGGTCACCACCCACCAAAACACTCCAACCCAATCCGAAGGCCCAAATTTATCCTCGATTTCCAGTGGGGGGGGTCGGGGAACATTGAAACAACACATGGAACCCGTACCCCCCCCCAACCCGAAATCCGGGTCAACTTCGGGTCTTCGGGTTGGGTTGGGGTGGTCTGGTAGGTAGTCAGTTGGGATTGGGTTCGTCTGGGGGGCTGACCCCCCCTTCACTCTGGAGAACGCACCACGGTGGGTGCGTCAAGAGGGGAAATCGCTAGGGCCACCAACTTCTGATTGATGCGCGCCCTCGGGCCGTCAACTTCGAACTGTTGTCGGCGTTGCTTGTCGCTTGCAAAGTGTTCGAGCCATCTTGGGCCGCCTTGGGGTCCGATTGGGGCCCTCTTCGGGAAATGTTGGGGCCGCCTTGGGCTGTCTTGAGCCGTCTCGAGGCCGTCTTGATAAGTCTTGAGCCTACGAAGCCCACCGCGCGATAAGCATTGTTAAACAACATGAGCGTTGTAGGGCGCCCGTCGGGATAGAGTGGTTGCAGGAGCAGACAGAGAGGAGGATGAGGATTACATGATATAAACGCGTGTAGGACAGAGCTCATAAGTCTTGGGGGAGCATTGTACTACTACAGCAAGCAGGGGGCACACATCCAACATCAAAGTTGTACATGAGACATCGTTGTGGCCATGCCGAATTGAGAGTCACCTGTAGGGAAAGTCGTGCAGTACGTTAACGAAAGTAAATATTGTTCCAGTCCCGCCCCCCCCCCTGCACTCCCCACTGTTATTTCCACCATGGGGCCCATGATAAATGCATTCGGGGCGTTCTCCAAATCAAAGGGGCCCATGGGCCTTTCTTCGGAAATCCATTGGGGGGGCAGTCGGCTTCAGAAGGGGACTCTGCAATAGCACACCTTTGGAAAACACACGTTGCCTGCGGGACGGACACCGCCAGGGCGTGAAGCCCTTGTCCATAGCCATTTTGGCCGCCAGGAGTTCCAAAGATGATTCCATATAGTTTTTCATGTTCCGTGTGCCTCTTGGCACACCTCCATATATGCAGCTCGCTCATCATCATGAGCCACGTTGAATCGCCGCCCGATCGACGATGCAGCGCAGCCTGTCCAGACATTGCCGTTGCAGCGCAGATCGAGCTTCCACCTGCGCTGGCCATTCCACAAGACCTTCCATCATCAGATGACGCAGCGCAGATCGACATTCCACAGAGGCTGGACATCCCTATGATAGCAGAGGCAGAGGACAGCCTGCAGATCATCATCCCTCCTGCCGCCCTCGTGCCAATGCAGATTGAGCAGCGCAAGTTCACGAACCGAAGTTGGCAACACATCGCACACGCTCGAGCGGCAAAGAAGGCAAAATACGACCAGAGAGTGATCCTTCATATGACCAAGGAACTGGCATCAGCAGAAACTCGACTTCATGCTGCCACATCGTTGGTCCCATCAGTATCGAGGATTTTGGGTTCGAAGTCCAAGAACATCGGCAGGAAACGCATTGACCTCTTGGAGCCAGGAGATTTCATTGTACTCAATCGGGCATGTTTTTTACCACCATCATCGTGTCTAGCGCTGGGCGTGAAGCACCAGCGAGTGATCGCGGCAGCGGCGACGTGCATTCAGAACAAACAAAAAGACGGGCTCGCCACAATGATCGCCAATGCAGAGACCATCGTCGATTTGGTGGGCGGTGTGAAGGCGCACATTTCATACACGCACTTGTGGGACGAGACGAGAGTTCGATACAGACAGCATGAAACAAAAGGACGGCAGACCAAGATGGGAGTTCATGTTCAGACTATGGCGCAGCGTTCGTACATCAGGTTCACGCTGTTTGATGAGAAGACGTCCCAGAGCAGTTCAACTACTGAGGTGTGGTTGGCACGACCGATTACTATCCAGGGTACGAGTGCAGCCGAGATGCTTCCAGGGATTCAGCGACAGATGCCGCTCCAATTCGACGTGTGCAAGTTGGAGGAGCTTGTGAGTACAGCACGGTCTTGCAGCCATATTACAATAATGCCGATGTGCGACAAAGCCTCTGGGAACCTGGTGCTGCTACGCCACTGGGGATACACGTTGCTTCAGATGCAGGCTGCAGCGCCAGAGGTGGGCAACAAAATTCTTTATTGGGCAGATTGTTGCGGAGTTCATCTTCACCACAGAGGAAAACTTTCATTGAAGCAGCTTAGACTTCACACGATGCGGTCATACAGCATCGCCAATTTGTATCGTCTCCCCGACATCAGATCACGCATGATATCGATGCTGGAGGTTCACATTCGGGCCAAAGTTCAACGAGTAGTTTCAGCAGAGCCCCGAACTGACACAGCATTGCGCACATTCGCTCGCATAGTGTTCGACCTCGAAGCTAATTACCACAGGCGGGGACATAACCACGAACGTCGTTCACAATTCTACAGAGACGTGGAACATCTGTGCGAGATGGTCAACTGCGACCTCGGCCCGAATGCGGAGTGGGTGCATTACTGCTCGTCTGGAGATGGTGACCAACCGTGTTGCGCGAGCCTGGAAGATTGCAAGCATCGCACAGTGGTTGCTTGCATCAATTGCATGTTCGGCAAGGCCGACCCGATCCCAGGCGAGAGCCGATGGACTCATCTATTGCCAAATTTTCGCATGCTGTGTTTGCGACGTGTCGTCTTCAACGTTGGTCTGGAGTGTTTCGACGTCTCGGTTGGGGACCTGCCTGACACCGTGGATGGCCAGACGACAGTCGACATGGAGGCAACCGACGACTACCAAAAGAAGCTCAAGCAGTCCCGCGTCAAGAAGACTGCCGAGTACTACAACAACGGTGAACACATGATGGAGCTCCCGATACTTACCGTGCTGGTTGGCATCTACGACTTCCACTTGCTGTACCCGATGCTGGGCGACCCCACGAATGTGACAAACGAGATGGGCGAGAAGGGCAAGGCGAGCAAGCTGGACAAGCTGTTGTGCAAGAACACGAGCCTCATAGGTCAGTGCTCCGAGAGGCTGTTCGCTAGCATGGAGGCTTGGCGGCAAGGAGGCGATCGGAGGGACCCATGGTGCGTCCTCGACATGATGGGCATCCCAGTTCAGAGTGCTGCCGTGATGCGTTTCGCTCGCAACCAGACTTTGAGATTGGCTGGCGTTGTGTTCAGGCGTTACGAAACGAAGTATTCGTCCAAGCCTTACGACATGCACGTTCTATCGCTTAGTACTACCACTGCAGAGCAGAAAGCGCCTTGCATCGAGCACCTACTGGCTGCCGACGACGACGAGCTGGACCTGTACAGCCGCGGAATCCGCAAACTGTTTACTAAGGAGGAGTTGGGGTCGAAGGAGTGCGAGTCCCTTCTCAGGTCAGATTTCATGACGCACGCTTTCAGCACTGACGTGATTGAGAGGCTGAACTCTGAGATCACCCATGGCGTGCCTAAGCGAGCTCCAGCGACCAATTTCACTCAAGCGGCGAGGAGGAACCTTCTGAGCCAAGCGGTCGCGATCCATGTCTCAAACGGTGGGCGGCATCCAACGAGACCCATCAACAAGCCACTTACTTCGAGCATGGAGGAGATCGAGCGCCCACTGTTGCTGTGCGACCCCTCTGACGCAGTGGAGTGCGTCATGGCGCAAGCCGCCACCGACTCGGCCCTTGTCCATCCCGAGCTGGCGGGTTCATCGGCTGCGGCGGCGCTGCCAGCTGGCCCAGGCGCCGCGGCGCAGGTGTCCGAGGATGGCGTCGCTGTCGTTCCTGTCGGGGACCAGGGCGGACCAATCTTCCCACCTTGTCGAACGGTATCGGAGTGCATCGACGTCCTTCCGCACGAGAACCCAAGTACTAATAGTACTGGCAGGTTTGCACCTGGCCTCAACCCTTACTTGTTGGAGAAGAACCAGTGGCTGCGTGCTGCGAGGGCGCTGAGAGACTCTCCGATGACCGATGAGGAGGTGAAACAGGTGACGGAGGAATTCCATGTCTTCTGGGAGAACGTCGCCGACAAAGATTGCCACAACGAGGCGTACGACGAGTGGGTGCGAGAGAAGCAACAACATCATGAACGAGAGCGCCCCTACAAGTACGTGCAGCAGTGGGGGGGCGGGGGCTTCGTCTCGCCAATCAGCAGCGACGAGTTCTGCAAGCACATCAAGGGTTCAAAAGGTTGGCCAAGCGATGCCGACGTCACCGACGCCAACCACGAGGAGGGCCTCGCCAAGGCAAACTACTTCGTGGATTTCGGGCCTTCGAAGAGCACGAATCTGTGGAGCCTCGGAGCTCGACCCCACAACGTGAACCCGATGAAGGTCGCGGGGGGGAGGTTGAAGTTCACGCTGGTCGAGAAGGGCATCAGCAACGTCATTGCCAGGCTGAACAGGACCAAGGTGGAGTCTGGCGACGTTATGTTGATAGTGGAGGGCCCGGACATTGCTGGTGGTGGTCTTTATCATCGGCTACTCGTCCAAGTCATCGGGTCATGTTTTTCACCTCTTGTGTTTGATTTCGCACGCCACAGATGGGACAGAGCTTCGTCGGACAGCGATCGCCCT